GGCTAACCAGTTAGCATACATTAAACGTTTTGGCTAACCAATACATTAAACGCATGCTCTGAAAAACGACGTTATTTATGACGAATACTAGAAGGATCTGTAACAGCTGTAAAAGACAAGCCATCAAATTAACAACCAAGCTCTTTAGAAGTTTATCAAATAAATAAAGAAATATGACTTAACATCAACACATATTTATGTTTCCCGGTAAAGATTTGCCGGATGTATATATTTTGACGATCATATTTTTTTCCACCGATACAAAACACTTGCGGAAATATGAGAAAACTCTGAGAGCTGATCTCCCAGTGAAATAATTATAATCTTCAACAGGAAACTTTCTAATTTTCTTATTGTACCGAAACAGCAGGAGATTGTTAGTGGCCCGTCACAAACAACGCTGTGTCGAGGCTTTTCATAAAGCACCACAATCCCATGTCTCACCAATCTGATATGTATATCCTCCATTGATGGTAAGGATGGCGTGCAACAACGTGCGTTTATAGTACTTTTTCTGTATTTTATTACAGAAAGAAAATCGTTCGACTTCCGGTAGTGAATTCCTTTCTTGATAGGAATGTTCGTGTCTATCATGATTTAGGACGATATTTCAGAAATAGGACGATATCATTTAACGTCATGCACAGAACCAGGCTTTGTACCTGATGTAATTTGAGAGATATAGAGGAGAGTTCCATTATGCCTTGATTTGTCAATTTTATAGCGATTTAAGGCACAGAATTATCAAACAATACTATAAAACAACGTTTGGTATCGCTATATTTGTTGATAATGGATTTTGGTTTGTGGGAGCCAGGTCAAGAATGTATTATCTTGTACATTTGTAGATTTGTCTGTCGTTTGATATAGGGATATAATTTGAGTTTCCGGGTAGTGTTGCCTATTGTCCAGTCTAGGTATGGACGATTGAAGTCTCCACTATAAATACTATTGTGATATTGCGGTTTCCTATTCATGGAGTTTTCAAGGTAGGTAAATGTGGGTCCTTTGTCTGAATATGGTCTATACGATGTAGCCACTGTGAGATTATTCATAGGAGTGTTGATATTTCGAAGCTAATTCAAAGAGATTCATCATTTGTTTTAAATTCTGGTTATGTTCTGATACGTATTTGGTAGTTGAAGTAGAGAGATCGGGGAATGCTTTCGTCCTTTTAGATCAGGCTTATAATGTGAGATGGCAACTATTTATAAGATCACGTGCCAGTTTAGCCATGTTTCTGTTCCTGCAACAATGTTTGGTTTTACTTAATAGGTAATGAGGTCATAATGGAACAAAAGCATTGTTATATAATAATAAAAAAGTCTTATAAAGTGAACATTTCATATTTTTAGACAAAAAAAACTCAGGAGCTAGGAACTGCTAAAATCGTTCATCTCATAAAATAGTAAATCTTTTATTATTTCCACTGAAATAAGTTCTATTCCTTTAAATACACATACCTTGTTTACATTTCTTCATGAATTGTAATGAAATACCCTATTCAAAATTTACCAGGTGGAAATCACAATAAGTGCAATTTTCTCCTTGAACCGAGGATGGCCTTTCATGTGGACCTACAGAAAGCATGTACCACTGTGTGTTTTATTTTCTTTAGTCAGGTGAATCTGGGAAATACCTAGCCACGAGTTGTGGTATGTCGTAGCTAAAGTTTAAGACGATGTCGGCTTCCGTGAAAACGCTATGCAAATTTCGCATTTTAAAAATTCGTTATTTAATCGTGGTCTACAAAGTGTTTACAGACGTAGGACCGTTAACAGCGTGTATTTCTCCCAAAGAAAATGCTTTGAATAAACTTTAAAACAAGTTTTACATCGGTATGTGTATGGGGTTTACGTCATCGCGACAGTCAGGACTCGGAGTTAGCATGCATTAGCTCGTATCAAACATCGAGGCCGTGAATTAGATTTAGCCTTGCAATTTCGATTTCGGATAAAAAGAAACATTTCTCATAAATCAAAATGAAATAAGCCCCTTTCATGCATGTACGTACGTACAATGACACCCTCATACGACCAATGAATTATTTATCAGCAATATATCCCTAGCTATCCGATAATGTGTGGTATGTTAACATGTACCACAGTACTCATAGGCCTGATGTTATTTAATAATTTCATGAACCATAGAAAAGAACAATATCATGTAATTTTGAAGGCAAGCTTTTTCATTAAGGCACACTGCTGAAATATAATTTTCGAAACTCTATTCATACACAAAAACATTATTACACAAATATTAGCATATTGATAACTAGTTGCATTGTAAGGCACATACATATTAAACGATATATTTCACGTCTATTAACTGGGAAATTAACACCTTCAAAAGAATAAGATCAATTGCCAATACAGGTTAAGCAATATAGCACCATGTAACGGAGAGTGGTACAGATAGGGGGGAGCTTAGCACAAGTAATAAAGAGTTAAGGCAGGTAAGGATTCACCTAGTCCGCTAAAACTGACCATAATCGCAGCCTCCTAAATTCTGATCGCTCGCCTCTTTATAGACCAATTACAGGCAACCGATCAGAATTTTGGAGACTGCAGGCATGGTCATATTTAGCGGATTAGGACTCACCTAGCGTGGGTAATGGAGGGATTGTACAGGTAATGGGTCACCTAGTAGTCAGGTAGTAAACATTCTGTACAGGCCAGGGGTCACCTAGTAGTCAGGTAGTAAACATTCTGTACAGGCCAGGAGTCATCTAGTACATGTTATAATGAGTTTGTACAGGTCAGGGGTCACCTAGTACAGGTTATAACGAGTTTAAATAGGTCTTGGGTCACCTAGTACATGTTATAAAGAGTTTATATAAGTCAGGGGTCACCTAGTACATGTTATAATGAGTTTGTACAGGTCAGGGGTCACATAGTATATGTTATAATGAGTTTGTACAGGTCAGGGGTCACATAGTATATGTTATAATGAGTTTGTACAGGTCAGGGGTCACCTAGTACATGTTATAAAGAGATTATATAGGTCAGAGGTCATCTAGTACATGCTATAATGAGTTTGTACAGGTCAGGGGTCACATAGTACAGGTTATATTGACATTGTACCAAGTAATGGAGATGTTGTACAGTAACAGGGAGATTGTATATGTAAGCACCTTGGAACGTTTGTAGAAGTAGCCACCTAGTACAGGTAAAAGAGGGAATGTATAGGCGTCACCTGTCACAGATGAGGAAGAGATCGTAGAGGGTGGTTACGTAGTGCAAGTTAATAGGTTGTTGGCAATAAACACGCTTTGACTGATAAAAGAAATGATCAATATAACTGGCTAAGATGACAGATTATTTCTAAGAATAATTCTTCCCAACCCCTGCCATTCCTGAAAAATATCATGGACTTGAGCAAGACTACGAATTATAAAACTAAGAATGTTCCCCTTAAAGGAATAAGTCTATTAAGCGCCAATGAGATGAAGTTTTCCTTGAAATAGTGAGTTCAAGTACAAGTTACAGCGAATAAAAATATACATACAGACATTAATATTTACACGATAAAACAGCATATTCTGAATAGATTAATTCTGGGTAAATCCCTGAGCATGATGTGAAAATGTTTAAGTGTGAAAAGACGAGACTTGGTACCAAATGTATCCTCTGATATACGTGTTTGTCCATGTTCAGGGTAATGGGTGCATGGCCTTCAAGTAAAAGCATTGAGATGATCTGTATCACAGAAAAAGACGTTGTATATTTTTCCTGGGAATGTCAGAGCGTTAACAACAATGCGTATGAGTTCGACTCAAGTATGTATGGCTAAGTTTGTGGTATTATATACACATGTAGAGAATTAGCAGCATTGTATGTACTTATACAAATATCCCTAACTTAGCAAACACATTTTTTTTTCTAGTATTTAGGACAGAAGCCAGAATGAAACACTACGTAAGGCACGTGAAGCATTTTTACATCTAAATTGTCAAATATCTTTTTCAGGTGCACGAAAGATATATGCTACCGTACACGCTATACATATAATACCTGTGATTCGTGTTAGAGCAGAGGTTATATGCTACCGTACTGTTGGTGAAAAGCCCTAATTATGGTAAAAAAAACATCAGCACTTTTTTCTTATATATGCATAATCATCAATTAATTCTTACAGTACAAACATCAATTCTAATTATACTGTATGACATGTTTAACTCTCAAACAGTCATTAAATGACCGAAGTATTGGTTAAATAAAGCTTTTAAAAAAAGATTTGTTAAACATACGTATTAATTAACTGATTGTTATATCTTTTACACACTTTGAATGTTTAAAATAACAAGCGACGGAGCGTGGCGCTTAACGATTGGCGCCCATTAACGTGTTGTCCCTCTATTACAGACATTTCTCCGCGATGAGGTATCGTAGTGGATGTTAAAACCTGCATGAAGTCAACTTTTAGAACACTCAGAAAATTTAATTTAGATTGAAAAATTTACCAAAACAGTACAAAGTATTGTAACATGTAATTTGTGTTTAGAGCTGTAACCAAACTGCAGGTATTATTTTTATCAATTTGCAAACTCATAACAAAATGTGATATTCCTACGCGTCCTAACTTGTCTATTGTAAAACAATGTCATGAACAAAAAAGTTCCACAACTCTTAACTTTTGTTCATCACGCTTATCTATCTGTCGTTAACTGTATCAGAAAAAACCCGCTCAAACTTGTTTTCTTTAAAAATCTACTTAATCAAATTATATAAACATGTTAACGGTCACACGACGTGGAACCTCCTTGTACATATTAAATATTAACAAAGGGATTCACCAAATGCTTAAAGCTAACAAGCTGAAGCACAATTCAAACTATGTATCCATCCACAGATACCACTATCTACAACTTAGTGAGGAGAGGCTTGGCTTTTATTCGACTGGTCAATCCCTTCAACACCACACACTTTGATGTACCGGGGCAGGAACATGGCGATTATCCTGAACTATGACTGGATTATTTCATAACAGAGACCTGAATGGAGTTTTTAGCCAATCAGACACAAGGATAGCCATGTTTAATTATGTAAAAGTCCAAAACTTAACAACACTTGACCACGGCGGATTGGATGATTACTTGCACATTTTCTTTTGAATAAGTTAAACATTCATATCAAGCTGTATTTATGGAATGTTTCATATTAAATGGATTCAAAATCTGTCATTAAATAGTTTAAGAACACAGTATATCTCGTTGTGCTGCTTATACATGATACTTATGACAAAATATTAATGTAAAAATACCAGATCGAAGTAAAACGCTATGTTTGTAGTATAAAAATATACTGTTACTGTAACATACACGTATGGCTTCATTGCTATTCGTCAGGTAAAGTCATACATTAGCTCTCGCATGACCACAGACGTTCGAGGTATACCTTACTATGACGTCTATATAATTTATGACGTCATACAGAAACCCTGTACATACATTTTATGAGGTCATATAGAAACCCTGTACATAAATGATCTTTTCCATACCAAAAGTATACACTAAACGTGTTACTCTCACCTGAGGTACTTAGCAACTGTAAGTTCCATATACAAATGTTAAAAACACGGAGATTGCTGCCCTATATGAACATGCGTATAACAAATGAATGATGTAACAATCAACGCACCAGATACACCTATTTTCACACTATAAACCCTGGTTAGGATCTAAGTATCCTTCTCGAGTCAATTATAAAGAGAAATGTGATGGACGGACGGAAGAATAATGAACGTTTTATACCACAGCTTTTCCGGTCAATTAAATGATGGCAGACACGATTGGAATATCCTTTTAAATACAGAGGCAATAATTCCGTAACACAGGGTCCACGATACATTGGGACTGTTTACCGTACCTATTTGTTCTATTGATTTCTCCTAGCTTTGTTACCTCATTGTTCTCTACACTCGCAGTCACTTCAAACAAAGCATCACTTGGTGAAGCTTTGAATAATACCAGATACTTTCTTCTGTCTTTGACGGGTTTGAAAAAGACATTTCTCAGAGTGAATTCCTCCATTTCTTCAACACGTTTGAAATTTGATTCAATTAATTGAGCGTCTTCAATCTTGGTCAAACTCAACTCAGCACATTTGTTTTTCACAACAGACAACATGAGGTTAATTTTAGTGATGCTGGCACGTGCTATTTGTAGCACGAGTCTGCTAGTTCTATTAACAGGAATGCTGGTAAAACAAGCACAGAAAAACTCGTGGATACTTGCGTCTGCACAAGTTCGCTCTTTTGGTATTTTTCGAAAAAGACTTATTCCTCTTGGAAGTTTACCATCTGTTGTTAACTGCACCCGATTGTCAAATCTTTTCTGTGCTATGTCATCCATTAATGCGTAAACGTCAAATGGCGTTGTTATGACCTTTGTGTTCTGAATCATCGTTTCCGCGAGGTCAGGGTGTTGCTGTTTAAAATGCTCCGGAAGTACTATCGTCAGAAGTGGCATTCGAACCTCTATTCGTCCTGCTACTGTATTTCTGACCGTATCAGACCTGCTCCCGTGATCACTCATCAACAACAAAACAGTGTTGTCTAAATGACCGTCCTTTTTAAGCCAGGTTAAAAAATCCACAAAATCTTGATCGCCTATTTCGAGAAAATTAGCATAATCGTGACTTATTTCGTTTATCCATGTAAAAGCAAACTTTGCTTTGTTTCTATAAACATCAATAAATCTTTTGAAATATTCGAGAAACATGTGATGTTTAAGTCGGTTTCTAAAGCACAAAGATGAATATTTTAATTGAATGTCCTTGTCCTCGAGGTAGAGGAGTACCTGGTCTAACGACGTTGTCACGGGCTGAAGGTTTTTCATAGCGAGATACAATGGGCGTATGTAGTGATCACTCGGCTGCGCATTGAATCCTTTGGCTGCGTAGTTAAACGTGGAGAATGCTGGCCAGTCCTCCGCATATAGGGTCGCGTAACCCGCCCTGGAAAAGTTGTGGAAAATAAGCGGGTAGTCATCAAAGTAACGCTGACCAACATGCGACAATTCCCGCGGATCTGCCTTTCTTCCAGTCAACAGAGGCACCATATTTGGAAACGTATTCTCCCCAACTTTTGTATAACCCTTAAATGACAGACCTCCTAAAACATCCTGAACGTACTTCATTGTTTTAGGCAGTTTACGCAAAGCCGCATTTCTTGACACCGAATCTATTCCCAGAATTAATACACTTAATTGATCTTGAGTTTCGTTATGGATTTTCTTGGAATGAAGCACTGTACGGTAATCCGTGTTCATAAGTAAACCTTCGTATATCACATTCCCAGCCTGGTCACGACACCTGGCCACAACAAAATCACAATTAATGTATTCTGGTTCAAGAATATGTACTTCCGGTTTCAAGATAACTTCATCATCGCCTTGGCGTTCCACCTGTTGGTAAGTGCAGTCTATATCCGATTTCGATAATTGTTTAAAACTTAATGTTGTAGTGTTTAACTGAATAAAGCCTTTCCTATCTATATACACAAATGAAAGACTATCGTCACACACTACCGGATGTGGATGCCAGTTCAGTTTCATGATCTCTTCGTCAAACGGGTCTATATCTGGCAGAGTACACACGCCATTCACATTGGTATGACTGAATCGAAACTTAGACGGCTGGTTGTACCTAAAGTTGGCGAAAAGTAGTAACGACACAAGAAACACTACTACGATCGACTTCTTGTTGACTTTAAAATACCTCACAAGCTTGGAGCACATGGACATAGTCATGATGAGTCCTGACGACGTTGGAAGTACGGTGTCCGAGCTACCTCATTTTGTCTTGCATCTTGTTTTGGACAAAGATGTCTCTCCATGGACAGTCGTTATGCAATGCGATCTTTCTCCCTTTACAGATATTTCGTAACAATAGGTTGTTGGTCTAATTTATAATGTATAGATCTGCCATGTCTCGGAGACTACATGCCGGTTAACTCATCCAAGAGTTCCTGAAAAAAACACCAAAAAATGCTGTTAGATACAAAAGACCACTGACAGACCAACACTAACCTTAGTAACATCATTAGACGCCAATAACTCGATTGGGCCGATGATTATTTGAGGTAAAGTTCTTGATTTTTAGGCAATCAATTATAAAATAATATTTTATAAATTTCAAAGAGAATATGTGTTATTATTAAAAATAAATATGCATGTGGAGTTGTTTTGTGTTTCGTTATCTTTGTGGTACTTTTTTTCGCCGATGAGAGTACTACTTTGATTGGTTCAATGATCGCAATGTCCAGTACTTATATATATGGTGTTTGTAATTGGTTTCTCTAGAATATACGTGTTATATGTGAATAAACGTTTGTGTTGGATGGTGAAGACGATGGTTTTTTTCGAATTAGATTTTACACTAGCCTGTTCCTACAAGCATTGGGAAAGTAAAGCACTCTTTTCAATGAAATCGAGAAGATACTCCTCTTTTTTTGTCGTTTTTAGGAATATGGATTTTTCAACAAAGGGCTATAACTTTGTAAAAAAAAAAGTTCAGAATTAAAAAATAATATCTGGATGCACAACTGCAGGTGGTAGTTATCATATCTGGAAACTTTCGTTGAAATTGATCCATAACTTTAAAAGGAGTTGTCCGGACAAAAAGTTTCAGGATTTTTTTCAACAAAGGGCCATTACTTCGTGAGAAAGGGTCAGAATTAAAAAAACAATACCTGGATGCACAATTTCAGGTGGTAGTTATCATATCTGAAAAGTTTCGTTGAAATTGGCCATTATTTTTAGAGGGAGTTGTCCGGACTAACTTTTTCTACGGACAGACAGAGAGACGGAAGGACGGACAGACAAGCTGATTCCAGTATACCCCCCTAACTTCGGGGAGGGGGGGGGGGGTAATAAAAGATAATTTCTGTGCGACCAAGGTCAAGGTAACATGAAGAATCACAAAGTCACACATATCACTTAACCTTTCAGTGGTGTATATGGCTTTGTGAGCGAATTATATTTCTGTTTCCTTGCAATTAATTAACAGCCGATACGGAAACTGTTGTCAGCTCTATAGTAAAAGGAGATCTCATTATGAATTTGATTTTTAATCGTTTAAACGTACTTGCACTTGTGCAGGAACACTGACATATTAATAATATACAGAAAGTGTTTCATCTTCATCCTAAATGTACTTCAAAGATAGTAATGTTACCTAAAAGACATAAAATTAAATACAAGATATCCAAGAGGTATCTTTGTGCCCACCGTTTGTAAGATCTCCATTAGGTCTATGTAGGTGTGATCTCTTTCATTTCTTTTCTCTGATTTTCTGGATTGATAGTCGTGTAAGCAGTTAATGCATCTTGTGGTAACTTTTGGTTAAAAATTCTTTAAACTGTGTTTAACAACGTCCTTTAAAGTTAGGTTCTCATTTGAGCTCTTTACTAAAAAAGAAATGCATATTGATAAACAAAATTCCTGGCAGTCATATGGTTCTGTCAATCAAGTAGCTTACTTATATCTCAGAACAATATATTCAAACTAGTGAATTATGCAAAGCTAATGAATTTTCATTCACAAAGGAAATCTAATAATAACTGCCATCTTGTTTTCCGGTCAGTCTTAAAATGAACCCTGCACCAATAATTGAGATTTTAGAAAGAACCAATGAGTACAATTTAGGAAATAGCGATAACAAGATTGTTTAAGGACGGGAGACGGGCGGACCATATACGAGTGATATATATCTAAAGATGATGAGCATGACGCATGACGCATGACGCAATCTTGAAGTTAATATATATTGTATACGGCATGCATCATTAACATACTAGAACCCAAATGACAATGACAGGTACAGCATATATCAGTGTTAAAGGAACGTAAAAACAAGATGGCAGTTCTTTGTGAATGAAAAAGCATAAGCTTTGCATAATTCACTAGTTTGAATAACCTAGTCTCAACTAGCGAACATTTCCATTTTCACACCTAATAACAACTCGGTTATAGTCTGTTTCAAAATGATGTAGATGGTAGTGTAATGCATATTATTATTAACAACTTTTGTCTACTTCAATCAGAGAAATATTCCATTTTCTTTGTAAAGAATTGTGATGACACGTGGCAGTAGATGAATAATATTGAAAAAATTGAACAGGATACATTTATTTTACCTCAAATAAGTATGTTTTTTACAGTTATTATACCAGGTACAGTACTAGCAGCCTGCTTGTTATTAAAATCTTTAACTATTGCTGATCAAGGAAAGACTCGCTAACTAATCTTAATATCAATGATTGATTAAAATTCTGTAATGCATTGTCTATACCTTTCAACTGATAAGATAACAGTTGACTGAATGTATTTTTATTTTTATGGTGCAGAATAGCAATCGCAAGCTGATTTTGTGTGGACATACACTGAAGAAAGGAAAAATAATTATAATTTTCACTTTTCATAATATCACAATTAAATGTCATTTTTGTCAACATTTATTCAAAGCTTGGGCTATTGGCCCATTATATGTGGTACATGATATACAAGAACAAGAGGTCCATTGGACCTGTATCGCTCACCTGGTTTTATACCTAAGTCATAACAACTGAATGCATTAGTACATCTTTATATGAAATTTCCTCAAAACCAGACAAGATCTATGCTCTAACCCAACTGGGACCACAATATCTGACTTTCAACTAACCAGAGGCCTCCATTGAGTTGCCATGTTAACAGATTTGAAATAAGTAATATGTAATATTAAAGGGTGTAATTAGACAAAACTTTCATTTTCATTCAACTATAAGCTTTTATAAACCTAGAAACCAATTTATGAAAACTACACCATAGAATATGATAATCTAGCTGTAACATTTCCTAGGACCACAGGGGTCAAATCAACCTCATTCAATCAAGAAATGTTTGTTCTTCCTCAATGTTTTTGGCCAAATTTTGTACAATCCACTCGGGCAATTAGGGGATATAAGCGTCATAAAACAAAATTTAAGATAATTTTCCTCTTTGGGGCCCGGTCTACCTAGCCCCAGGGGTCGAACGAGTCTCATTTATTTAGGAAATGATTGCCCTCCCCCAATGAAGTTTCAGAGAAAATTTGGTTGAAATCTTCTCTGGCGTTTAGGAGGAGATGCGTTTTAAAGCAAATTTAGCTAAGTTCCCCTTCAGTGCCCCCC